GCTCCTCTGGTACTTCTTGAGAGACTTCGGTCTCAACAGTAGGTTCACCAACCGGCGTCATTATTTGTTGCAATGGTGCCACCTCAAGTGGCGGGACGTCGGTAACCAATGGCTCATTCACAATAGCCGGTGTAGGTTCCACCCTTGTTGACGATGGCTCACCGACGGCGCTTTGAGACCGGTTGGGGTTCTTTTTCCATGCCTTGAGGAGATTCATGCGTCCAGCCATCTCAGTAGATCGGAGATTTTGTTCTTCCCAACCTTGTTTTTTAAGTCTGAATTCGGGTTGCGTCTCCGATGTTCTTCGGCTTCAACAGGATCTCTAAAACCGAAGTACCCCAACAATGGATAATAAACTGTCACAGGATATCTCAAGTTAGACCGACATCATTAATATGAAGAACAGAATAAACCAAGTAAGATACTTACTTGGCTGAAATGACGAGTCTAAAATCCCGGGAGATAAGCCAGCTAACTCCAAGCGAGAATCCTTCACAAGCCGCTGATATCTTCGCTTGTTCGCGGACAGTTCAAATAGCTTGTCAACCCGGTTATACAACACTCCTTCAAATTTGGGTTCTTTCTTTCCTTCCGGTTTGGCTACAATGTCACAAAAGTCCACCTGTTAGCGAAAACAAAAAACAAGACATTAATACTTGAAGTGAAGAAACAGATAAGCAACTTACAATAACCAGATTTAATAGCCATCGGGATACTCATCCCATCGGCAAGAAGATCGTTGGCGAAGTCGGTGCACTGCCAGTCCCCACCGACCCACAACCATTCTTCCTGAAACCCATGTAATGTGTCGGGAACTTCCGTTATCAACTCGCCAACTTTGACCCTTGACTGAGGTTTGCCGACAATCGAAAAAGTAAGAAGCGGATCCGATACTTGTCTATCTGAACTCTTCCGAAATGTAAACATACTTCTCATGTCCCTTGCCGACGGTAAATCCCATTTCTTTTCAGCAAAAAGCACAAGCAATCCGATAATTCGCTTCCATGAGTTCGGAGCAACTTGGCATATCGGAAATTCCCAATTCCGTAAGTATTCGGTGATTATACGCGGCAAAGGAAATCGTAATCCCGACCTTAAACTTTCAGCAAATACAACAACGCACCCTGGTGGTGGACATGTAATCCTTTCTCCAGGATATGGCGCAAATAGGTGTACCGACGCGGGGACTCGAATTTCACTCCGCAACATAACGACGTCGGCGTCTGTTAGTATGCTCGGTTCACCATGGGGTGTCATTTCGAGGTTTGGCCACTTTCTAATAGGCCGCCTCCAAAATCTTGGATCATCGATGGCGTTCTCCTCAACTCTTTGGTCTCCCTTGGTATCGTTCAATCGAAAACTTAGGCGTTCGACAAACACCGGATCCCACCGATTGTATTCCGACAATAATTCTAATTCCCCGGAGTGGACCGTGTTAATCATCATGACATCCAACTCGTCATCGCCAGAATATGCCCACGATATACTCATGATGCGAAGAAAAATATGCCAAACAGATGAATAAAACAGAGAAATGATTTTTACCACAAGAAGTTCACAGATCTGGAATGCTTTGAGTACAGTTGTGAGGCGATTTAATGGAGAAAAAATAACAAATTTGATTACAGATAGAAAATGAAGGTAAAGTAAATCTCGGCAGAAGATTTCCTTTTTATACTAAACCCTGAATTTGGCTATGACCGTTGGAAAAAGGAATAAATAGGGGCGCGTGGGTTCAACATTCTTAATTCGCGGGTCGACACGACCTTTGAGAATCGCGCCTCTCAGCAGTGGCTACGTGGCCTATCAAAAGTAACTGTTGCCCCTATCAACAAACGTTGCAATTAATTGTAATAAATAGCACCGTTTCAGCTTTCAGCACCGTTTTTGACAAGTGTGAAGACATCGGAAGGATGACTGCAAAAACCGACATGTTTCACTCACTCGAAATTAATTGTTTCCTAGTAAATTTTCAGCATCTATGCTCGTCTTTTCTCAAGACATCCATTAATGCTGGGGGCCACCTTGTTGACATTGTTTTTGGTAAACCAAGTTAGCAATGTTTATCAGGCTTTTATGCTCATTAAGTAGAAGATTATATTCATTCAAAAGAAGAACATCTTCAAGGGTCCCTAAAGCAATCATATATTGGGAGAAAATGGATCAAGAACCGACATCTTCATCAACTAACCGACATCTCATATTGGTTGTGCCATGTCGGGTACGACATGTCGGTTAGGACATATCGGTTATGGCTAATCAAACCGATATCTATGACTTGCCACACCGACACCATAAGGCGGCGCCAACTCAGCACAAGTCATCATTACACCTGGCCAAGTGGCACGCTACCAAGATAAATGGCAATTAGCCGCCGTTGACTATTCTAATGTAATGATTATATTGCTGATAAGTGTTGTAAATTAATATAAAAGGAAAAAATAGACTCTCCAGGGGAGACACATGAAAAAATATACAATAATATTCAAAAAAACTTTCCTTTTCGATTATCAGGTTCTGAATCTCTCTCTCTTGAATACCCAACGTGTTTTTCATTATATTATCGTTGTTAATTGCCACATAACAACAGGTATGTAAAGTGCAAAAAATTCTATAGTTAGGTGGATTAAGTGTAATTTTTCCTAAATAATACTTATAAATTAAGTATTTTTAATTTATAAATATTATTTTATAAATAAAGACTTCTATTTGTACCCAACTTTCTTTTATATCTCTGACGCAAAGAAACCTTGTGCTTTTGTTAAATCTGTAGTTAAGATACTTGAGTTTGATAAAATTTTACCAAAATATTTATTTCATGAATGGCATTATAATTAAATCAAATTTTTAAATAAAAATAAAAAATGACACTTATTTTGAAATAAATGTAATGTAATTTATTATTAGCTACGTGCATAGTTTTTAAACCCGACCCGATAATCTACTCGGATAGGTCACTGGGTCACCGGGTGATATGGAATATTATCTCTATATGAATAAACCGACTCCTTGAACTGGTTAAGTGGATCGGGGCGGAGGAGGGCCACGTTTGGTCATAATATCGAGTCAAGAAGATAGAACCAAGTATCATCAATGAGAATGTGACGGGGACCTAAGTGTGAGTGATGGGGAAGAGCTGGCCGATGCTCGAGGAGATCGAGCAGAAGGCCATCTGAAAAGGTTACAACATTGGTCGAAGGCAACCTGAGAATAACCGGATGGTCGAGCTCGTTAGGAATAGAACACAACTTAGGGAGTTGACTCAAATAAGGTCAAATATGATAGCCTCTAATAGAATTTCAGACTTGTCAGTAAGACGTCACAAAATCGTGAGGGAATATTTACTCTATGTGCGAAGGATACGTGGCGCAAAGATATTGGTGCAGAGGATAGTGGCGACGGTTACCCTGATACACACACACTGTGTGTGTACGAACGGGCAGACATGGGCAGGCAACTCAGCAAATCCAGGCAGCTCCTAGGGCAGGTATCTTACCCCCATATGTATGGGGTTAAGCCTTTCTTGCTTAACATGATCAATACACTTTTTACTATTGAGAATTGATTGAGCAAACACTGACTTAAGGAGGCTCTTCACTGGAAAAACCCTCCGGTGTTAGAGTTCTTTGTAGGTGCACGACGTTCAGCCGACGATAAGGAAGGCGATTACTCAGATTATAGCCGATGGGAGAGTTTTGTGTTACCACCGGACCAATTGCTGAATCGAATAATTAATTTTAAAATTTTTAAAATTATATATATAATATTTTGTCATATAAATATACATAAATTAACAAAATTAAATGTTTTGTATGTAAAATTTGTAGATTAAAATAGTAATAAAATTTATTTCATGACATATATTTTTTATATAAATATATATACAATGTTTTTTTTTATATAAAAAAAATTAAAAAACAAAAAAAAAATATAGGACCGGGTCAATGCCCTTGGTCGACTGGGTCAAGGTCGAGTTTTGACCGGGTTTGACCAGGTCCTTTGTTGCCCGGTCCAAATAGCCCACCTGGACCGGTTCCGACCCCTAGTCGACCCGCCGGACCGGTCCGGGTTGAAAAACACTGGTTACGTCCACCACATGAGTTGTGTATTAAAATTAATTAGACATCTTTATGTAATTTTGCACAATTCAAATTTCATATAATATTTTTTAATAAATTAGCATAAGTAAAATTGTTTTACATATTAATTATATATTTTTAATTTATAAATATTATTTAATATATATTTTAAATTTATAATAAATATGAATAAATATCTTTTACTCGTCTATTAGTAAAAATATAATAAATTGGCCATTAGCTAGGCACGGCCCAATGGCCTTCTTTCTTCCCTATTTCCTCACTCGTTTTTCTCAAACCAAAAACATGGAATCTCAATAATCTTTTCTTCAATCCGAAATTCCATTCCTGCAAGGTAAGCTATGTTCTCTCCATGCTCAACTGTTACGTGTGTGTATGCTCACACTTCATAGTTTTATCGAAAAACCCAGAAGACAACAATCCCATTTTAGTTTATTGGCAATCGAATTCATATGCCGGTCGATATTTAAATTTTAGTTTTTCCTCTACTTGATTATTGATTATTGATATTGTAGCTCGTCCGCCGTTGAACACAATCATCTGATCTTGCTGCAAAGTTGCAAAATATTCGATTTTATTTGGCGAATTATTTTATAATATGCAAGTCTGGGTAATTTGTGTTGTTGTTGCAAGTGCTTCTTCTATTAGTGAAGTTTCTAGAAAAAAAAAAATATATAAAATGACGAAATGCACCTTGGGTCGCTACGGAAACAGCCTCCTTGTATAATTACAAGGGTAAGGTCTGCGTACAACTGACCCCTAGACCCCAATCAGTTGGGAATATACTGGGTATGTTGTTGTTGTTGTTGTTGCAAGTCTGGGTAATTTGGTGGTGTAATCTATGTACAGAAGGAGAACCTCTCTATTTAATCTAATCTGGGGGGATCTTTTTCAACTGCAATGGCCGAAGAGGATGATTTCACATTTTGTCAGGTAAGTTGGTCACACGTTGATGGATATGTCTCATTTGGTAGCTTTAGTATCTTTAATGATGGATCGGTTTAAACGTGAGCTGCTTGGACTATGATTTCCCAATCTTTTAATCTTATGCGATTGTCTGTGATAAGGTTGGGCCGTCAGTAGATGCTGCTGACGATATTGATAGAATTCAAATAAAAGATGGGGATACTGAAGCTGCCGGTAAGAGAGATGATACGCTTGAGGGTTGTACAGATGATGGAAATAAGAATGCTGGCAATGAGAATAATGGTAGCATTTGGCAAGTCAGTTCAACTTCTCATAAACAGGCTGCTGTTGGTTCATTGTTGTTTAATGTGGTTGATGCCTCGTCTGGCAAAGGTTTAGTTCCACGGCCCAAACAAGAGGTTGCAGGAAGTTCGAGCAATGCTTCACCGCAGACGAATATTCCTGTGAGGAAAGGTGTTCAGAGAAATAAGGTCCCTTTTGAGAAAGGATACAGTCAGATGGACTGGCTCAAGCTTACGAGAACGCATCCTGACTTGGCAGGTACCTTGCCATTTTTGTGGGAACTTATCTGGCTTTCAGATGTTGCATTTTGAATATGACGATATGGCTACAACAAACTATTCATACAATGCGCATTAGATAACCTGTTTTTAGTACAACTGGGAGCTGGGTTTGTGTTTGGAATTCTTAGAACACACAGCTATGGGGATGTTTGATTATTTTATTTGACACGTTATGAAGTCTTCAATTTATATTCATTCGAATTAGAGTAACGGCCAGACAGTTGCACTCTTGCATTAAGAATTTAATTTGCTCTTTCCTTTAGGATGTCCTTGGATCAAATGGTTTGAATTAATTTATTTTTCATTACAATTTTAACAGACTCAATGTTGTTCAAATCTTTATTGACTGGTTTTGAGCTGTTTCGAGTGTCATTTCGTTGGATTCTAAATTTATCTTAAGTGGAATTATTTGAAAATCCCAGTGTGGAGAAATATTCCATTTTTATCCACACCATTCAATACGAAATGCAACCTTTATAGTGTGTAGAGGCTGAATGTCTGTTGTATTATTAAATTCATGGTAAATTTTCTTCAGGGCTGATAAGCATGAGCCTATAAAAGCTTGTACGACCATTTTTGGTTTATGCACAAGAAAGGAGCACATAGAACTTGCAAAAATATCTTGGTTCATCTCCACGGTCTACCTGATGTAGACGTAATGTCACTTCCTGTATTTCCTTAGTCATAAGGATCCTCAACTTAATAAAATACTATTTTACCAAAAGTTTTTTCTTTTGTACTGAAAATATGTGATACAAGTTTAATGAAAGTTGGTATTGTAGAATTGGAGATTGAGCATTCAGTATACTTTACAGTGTTAATGGAAGTCCTTTTAGGAGCTTTTTATAGATGGCATTACTTGAAGCTTTTTATAGACTGTATTACTGAATCTGCCTCCACGCTCACATCCTATGTCTTAAAATCTATTATGCAACTATTTTTTAACGAAAAAACATGAACTATTTTCATTTTTCCACTTTTTATTCCGTCCTTGACAATCTCTAAAGCGTCAATTCTTTTTTCTTTTTTTTTTAAAAAAATTGAGACTTAAAGAGATATGCTTATCTTATATACTTATTTGCATGATTCTTTTTTTTTCTTTTACTTTTCCTTGGTATTAGACAACATGGTATTTTTGCTAGAAATATTTGCTCTTTGAGCCTCATTACTGAACATCTTTACATTTATCTAGTTTACTTGTCTTCATGATTGCAATTTATGATATATATCATTTAGCCCCAGATGGTAAGTTTCAGTTACTCGTTTAATATTAAAGTTCATCCAGGAGAATCATTGTTGCAAGTTAGGGGCTACTCTATTATCCACTCTGTATTCTGGACTTGCTTCATTTTCATATATTTTCTTCTACTCAGGATTGAAGGGGCAGTCTAATAGAAGACTGATATCTTTGAAAGAAGTCAAACAACATCAATCGGAAGGTTCTATGTGGACTGTTCTTAAAGGCCGTGTCTACAATTTATCACCCTATATGAAGTTTCATCCTGGAGGTAGCTGGAAAATTTTGATCAATTTAGTTAACGTTGTCTCATTATCTGATCCTTCTTTCATGTGATCTTCTTATTCTATGACTTCAATCTTGCATTTTGAGAGAATAGGTGATTGTGGCTTCCCTTATATCATTATATTCAGCTTTACCAATTTTATAATGTTTCTATAAACATTAGATATTATTGGAATTCTGAAGTGAAATACATCAAGCAGGGAAACCATGAAGCTGGAATTCTTTGTAACAGGAACACAATTTTCTTTTTTATTTTGTATCATGGTCTGTTCAAAAGTCATTAAAAGAGTAACTAATTTAAGGAAATCAGAAAAGGGTAATAAAAATAGAAAAATAGCATAATAATAATAATTACAACAACAACAATAATAATAATAATAATAATAATAATAATAATAATAATAATAATAATAATAATAATAATAATAATAATAATAATAATTGAATGAATCAAATATCAAGTAATTTGTGAATGATATTTGCAAGTGAAGCTTCATATTACTACATGTAAAAACATTGTCTTTGCGTTCACTCACTAAATATTTGTACTTAATGCACTCATTTGATATTCTTTTCCCGCATAACTTGTTTGACAGTTTTGGTCATTACACAAATTCTTGTGTGAGGCAGCCGTTACTCGTCATACTTTGAGAAAAAAGAAAAAAAAAAAATGCATACTTATACCATTAAATGTCATATTTTGTTTTTTAAAGTAAAGTTTTCTAATGAAAGTATGCATACTTGTGAAAAGAGTATGCGGACCTAATGGTTAGGTCCGCCTAACACAAGACCTACTACAGCTGTCATTAACATGTGATTTAATGAAATTTCTTATTTTTAAGAAACTCTACCTCTTCAAGAAGACTAAATGCTGATTTCTGCTCAGAAGTTTTAGCTCTAACAGTGCATCCTCTAGTGTATGAAGTGGATTTATTACATGTGTTCTCAACATGGATTTGTCGAACAAGTTGTAACTTGAGACATTGATGTGACATCCCAATTTTGACCTACGTAGTTGCTTCTGAATTGCACGTTTTTACTAAAATGTGTAATCCCTACCTTTATTTTCTTTTCCTATTTGTGCATCTCATTTGAAGCGTAGAATGCCAAAAAAATTTCAAGTTCTTGTCTCTAGTTAATTTATCTGATGCCTTAATGGTATTGATATTTCATTTTGAGCCCCTCAATGATTGAGATTTAATCCTGCTTTTATTATGACATTGGAATGTGCCCCCTATTCCATTTCTGAAAGCAGCATCGATTAACATCCAATGCCTGTCACGATTGTTTTCTTCAGTTGTTTCACGTTGCCATCTGATTTTATGTTGCATTCAGAACAGAAGGCTGCTCTTTCTATTTATATGAGATTTTTACCTCTGACAATAAATTTCGTACATTTGCTTCTGGTGGATGTTGCCAGGCGTGGACATGTTGATGAAGGCAGTTGGAAAAGATTGCACGTCTTTATTCAGTATCCTTCTATTGTATTGACCAACTCTGGTTCTTTCACTTCTTCCGAGTAAATTTATGCGGCGATAAAATTTGCAATCCTTATGATTGGTCCAGATAAGTATCATGCTTGGGTTAATGCAGAGTTCTTATTGGAGAAGTGTCTCGTGGGTATCTTAGACGAGGGAAATTGAAAATGATAAGCTTCTATGAGGACTAAAGCTTCCATATTGGGACAAATACAAGTATGCATATTGAAATGAAGAAAGGCATGCCACAATTCTAATGGCCTCAAGACGCATGAAGCTAGTGCATATGGTAAATGCAAATTTTATATTCGAGAGTATATTAATTTGTGGAGGAAAAAATGTTTCGAAGACTATTCTATAGGTTGTGACAATAGAATTTAATCTGAGGAAATAGCTATTCTCAACTTGTTCTGAAGATGGAATAAGTTTTTCACACAGTGCGAACCGTGAGAACTAAGTGCTAGTGTGAGAACCGTGGTAGTGTTACGATTGATTGTGTTTTAGTGTTATTTTGAACCATGATGTATTTTATTAAAAATAGCAATACAATTTATATTAGAATTTGTGAGAATAATGGCACCATGTAACAGTAAAAATAGAATCATACACAACTAAAAATAGCAATACGGTTCTCACACCAAGATTAGTTTTTATTATATATATATATATATATATGGATTACATCTGATATAACCCTATTGTCGCGGTCCGATTCGGTTAGAGGTTGCTCGACTAAAGACTGTAGACGATCCCACTAGGACGAGACAGGTGATGTCGACTCGGCCCATCAGATACCCAGAAATCGTCCAACCGATCATGATACTCAGTCGACCTCATAAAATCGACCGTACACAAGACGACCGCACTCATGATGACGAGCAAGCGTTCTCATAAACCTCATATAGTTGTGTAACTACAAATCGACTCGACAAGACTACAAATCGACTTGTAAGGATCTACAGCAACTCGATGAGCAGATGCGACACATGGAAGACTCCTAGGCACAAGCTTATAACAGGATAAGAAGGAATCTAGATGCTGACTCAGGAGTAAGCAGAATGTGGACCGACCAGGGCATTTTGGGTACTTCACGTAAGTCGGCCGGGGCATTTTGGGACTTCAAAGTAAGTGTTTTTACCCCTATATAAAGGGGCTGAGGTAAACCTAAACCCTATCTATTATTCTCATTCAATACTCAGCTGCTGCTCCCCCTGAGCAGGGCTCTCTCTCTCTCTTCACTTACTGACTTGAGCGTCGGAGGCTCTTCACCGGAAAACATTTCCGGTGTTGAGTTCTTGCAGGTGTTCGCTGTGGTCTACGAGCGACTTGGAGGCGATTCGAGCAGACCGGAGCTCATTCTCACCGGTTCACTCCGGATCTAGGAGGAGACCCATCAACATCAAATGAGCACACATTTATGTGAGACCCATTTATAGTCACTAGATTTATACAAAATGTGTGACTATGATTTAACTCTTTATTTAAATAATAATTCTTTATATTTATTATTTAATACTTTATTTTATTATTTTAATTATTTAAATATTATTTTGAGCATGGACCATTGACTGTGACATTGACCGTTGACTTCCGCCGTTGACCCATTGACCCTAATATGCACTATGTATTAAGAAAATTTATCTAGTACTATGCACGTAATATGAACTAAATATGCATAGAATATGAATTGCATATTTAATCCGTATGAACTAAATATGCACCAATGATATCAACTAAGTATGCATTGTTTATGTATTAAATATGCACATGTTATGAACTAAATATGCACCATGAATTAACTCAATATGCAGCAAAATATGCAATAAAATGTGCATTTTATATAATTAATTTAAATATAATTTGTTGATATCCGAGTTAGCCAAGAGTGAACCGGGAAGACATCGCCTACCAAAACCCGGGTTTAGGACCCGGTCCAACACAGAAGTGTCGAGCTTAATCGAAGAATAAAGTGCTCAGGACCTCCATGGGAACGTTTCCCGAGCTCGGCACCCGGCTGGGCACATGCACGAGCCGACCTGGAGGGGGTGCCGGGCTGAAAGTAGAATCCTGGTTGTTCCACGAGCATATTCAAGAAATGTGTCGACCTGAAGATCCGGGGCGGCCATCCCAAAGGCAAGGACCGGGCTCGGTAAACATTAAAATAATCCCACTTGGGAGGTCATCATTGGACGATGGGACGGGCCGTTATAGCCTGTCACTCTACAAGCAAGCCTAGTCAAGAAAGTCAACCAGCATTAAATGTCCCTCATGCTTGCATTAAATGCTTGACGGACAATGATTAAAGAAACCTCAAATCGCATTAAATAGATGTCAGGGAGAATTGCTCTGCAAGACTACTATGCGACAAGACCAGTGAACAGTACCTGGACAGTACCTCATTTAAGGATACTATAAATAACAACTCATTTCATTTATTTTGGGTTGTTGAATCTTAACTAACTTTGCATTCTCTCTACTTTCTCTCTCTAAAACTGTAAGAAATTCTTTGTAAGAATTGTAAGTATATCGCAAGTGCCGACCTCGTGATCGCTTAATAAAATCGTAATTAAACTATATCTTTCCTTTGTTTTCAGTCCTGCACTTTCATTATTTATTATTTTAACCATTGACCGAAAACGCTCGTCAACAATAATAATTAATAATTTTATAATATAATTAATTTAAGTTTTAAATTGATTAATATAAGTTGTTGATCAACACAAATAAATTGTGATGATTGGATCTCATATGAACTGAATATGCACTATTCGCGAACTAAATATGCATTTTGTATGCTAAATATGCATCGTAAATGAATTAAATATACACATGTATATATTTAAATAACAAATATGCATTATGGATGAACTAAATAAGAATTTCGTATCAACTAAATATGCAACATCTATGAATTAAATATGCATCATTATATTTTTTATTTTAGATATAACAAATATGCACTGTTGGTGAACTAAATATGCATCATAAATTAAAGAAATATGCATCATTATATATTCAATTTAAATATAATAAAAATACAATATGGATGAACTAAATATGCATTTCGTATTAACTAATTATGCATCATCAATGAACCACTAATTATGCATCATCAATGAACTAAATATGCATAAGTATATATTTAATTTATATGTAACAAATATGCAATATGGATGAACTAAATATGCATTTCTATTAACTAAATGTAAATATGCGTCATGAATAAACTAAATATGCATTATATATATATATATACACACACATACACACACACACATTTAATTTATATATAAGAAATATGCATTGTGGATTAAAGAAATATGCATCACCAATGAATTAAATATGCATCATGAATAAACTAAATTTACACATGTATATATTTAATTTAAATATAATAAATATGCACTATGGATAGACTAAATATGTATTTCGTATTAACTAAATATGTATCATCTATGAATTAAATATGCATCTTGAATGAACTAAATGTGCATTATGAATAAACTAAATATTCACATGTATATATTTAATTTAAATATGATAAATATGCACTATGGCTGAATTAAATATGCATTTCGGATTAACTAAATATGCATCATGAATGAACTAAATATGAATCATTATATATTTAATTTATTTATAAGTATATGTATTATGGATGAACTAAAAATAAATTTTGTATGAATAAATATGCATCATGAATTAACTAAATATGCATCATAAATTAACTAAATATGCATCATTATATATATAATTTAAATATAGCAAATATGCACTATGTATGAACTAAATACGCATTTCGTATGAACTAAATATGCATAATGTATAAACTAGATATGCATTATGTGTATAATTTATTACATTATAAAAAAACAAAAAATGTTACATTAAATTAATTACATAATAAATATTTAACAATCATATCAACTAAGTATGCAATATTTATGGACTAAATATGTACTATGTATGACTAAATTAACATTTTGCATTAACTAAATATGCAACAATAATATGCAATTTAAAATGTGCATTTTATAGAATTAATTTAAATATAACAATTAATATTTTAGTATATAATTAATGTAAATTTCAATTAATTAATATGAGTTATTGGTATACACAAATAAAGAGCTATGACTGGAACTTACATAAACTAAAAATACATCTCATATTACATAACTACACACAATAAATAAAATAAATAAGTAAATATGCAGTAATTAAATAATTAAAAAGCTAAGGCTAAATTTACAGTTTTTTATAAAGAACTCAAAGGTAAAATTCCAATAAATAATAAATTGCTGAAATTACAATCAAGTGCCTAGGTTTTGTCTAAGTCTCAAAAGCATAGCCCAATCTCTAATAAATTCCCAAATAGTCTCGTCCGTTCACAGCCCATCCACACGCCAGCCGGATGTTGAAGTTGTGTCGCTATCGTGATTGCGACCAACCAAGCCGGAGGATACGGTGATGACGTCGCTGCATATGACCAAAAAATCGAAATCTTCGTTATCTCGACCTCTCTGCTGACATCTCCATGCTCTGGCTCATCAACCTCACCCTCGACCTCCGCATCTTTGTGACCGACTTCCGCTACAGTTGCTCGAGTTCAGTTCATGGAGGCTTCATGGAGGCCTCGCCGGCCTGGCGGCTGTGGGGACGATGATGACAACCAAAATCGGGGCTGGAAGTAGAGCAGCTCCGGCGCACGCAGATGGAGGGTTCCGGTGGCTCCGTGCGGCTAACAACTGCCGGTCAACAGTCTCTAGCCGTCGGAAAATGTAATTTATTAATTTACTAATTTATTTATTATATTAATAATGTAAATATGATAATTAACAACTATCTCCATCATGTGTGGTCCTAGAATGCCAGGAGGGACGATGTACGAGGGCTCGGCCTTTGGACCTTCAACTTATACCTTTTTCTACCATGTCTTGACTTGCACTCCTTGTATGTAAACTTTCTTCTTTTGTGTTGCTCACGTCCTCATTTTAAGGAGTGTCCTCATTTGATCCATCCTATTGAGAAAACTGTCGTGCACAACACGGCCAGGCCCACGATGTTTCTTGAGATTCATGTCATGAAGTTATTTCTTTATAATGATGTATATTTTGTAATTTGTATTTTGTTATCCCTTTTCTATTGTTAAATGAAATGCATTATTTGTAGAATGGTTAGATAATAGCAATAACCAATTTGAAGAGCATATAAGGTTTTTTTAATATTTACAATTAAATATTTAATAACCTGAATTTAAAACCAAAAGAATGTACGAATAACAGAAGAACAAAATATCAATATTATTTTCACCAGCTCAACAATCTAGGATTGAAAGCAAGATAATAACATGGTCCAAGCCTGGTAGAATACTGTGACACAAGTTGTAAAGAGAAACATAAGCGCACAAAATATAACAATTTGATGCACTTCCAGTCCATGGTGTTAACGATTTGTTACAACTCAAACTAATTTGAATAAAAAATTAGTTTATTTGATTATTTAATCGAGTATTTCGATTAACCGAAATAATTGTAATAATTTATTATTTATATAACACAAATATTTTTAGTGCTTTAATATTTTATATTTCACATTTTTTATTATTCATGGTTGAAGTGGCATAAGATATACAATACGTAAATCAATAATGTGCATATCTACAATCACTAATGTGCGGTCAAATAACATTATTGACCAGTATAATGAGTTGAATTTTATTTTTACGTGCATTTTAATTTTTAGAACACTTTTAATAATGTGTATGTCAATAAATCCTATTTTGCATTTATCAAAATATTTATTTAATATTTAATGAAAAAAAGTATTTTGTATTTATAATTATGAAATATATGAAATATTTTAATATTTTATTTTGTTTCTTTGTTGAAATTACATACAGAATATAAAAAATATTTATATATATATATTTCATATAAATT